AAAAAAAAAAGATCAATTGCTCCTCATGGCATTGTGTTTCGCTTGTGAAAATGCCAAAGAGGTAGGGGCGTATTTATTTGATTAAACGAGGTGATCTTTTATGGCATGGTTAAACATTAGGGAAGATGTTGTAATTGCCCTACAAATTCTGGTATGATTTTGTTGTCTCGTATTGGCAATATATCTAATTGTCCTTACCACTATCAAAATTGGATTTTGATTGAATTACCTAAAGAATACTAAAACAATTAAATTTTTTTTTAGAGAAATGGTAGAAGTTCTAGGGTGTTGGGAAATTTCACCAATTTCACCATGTCCCAAACATATGGTGAATGTTTATTTGTTCAGTTACGTGATTCAACAAGTCTATATCGTATTAAGAACACACACATAAACGACAAACTCATTCAGTCAAATAGCATGTAGACAATATGTTTACGAACAAGTCTATCATATGCACGTCATGGTCGAACAATCCATCTCCTTTCGGTTTTTAGACTATTCAAGTGAATAAGGCGGTGATCAATTGGCTAATTCTATTATTCAATCAATGTGCATAAGTAGAACAATACACACTCAAAATTATTCGAGACAAGAATATCCTAGCCCTAAGTGAAAGAATTGTCTAATACTTGAGATGAATCTCATGTTAATCGAATCAAAGAACATAAATCCAATCAACAATAATAATAATATAGAAATGGAAACTTACAATCAGGTTAAGAATTGCATGAGTTCAATTCCATTTTATTTGCCTCCAACAATCCAAGCACAAGCGAAAAAGAAAAAAGGGAGAAAGATTAATCCTAATAAAACTATTTACAAGTTGATTCTTGGAGTGTCACCCTCTAAGATCAAAATTAAATATAAATATTGTTTCTAAGGGAGAAAGACTGTGGAAAAATATGAAAATGGAAGTGTTTTTTTAGGATTAGGCACCAATTATAATAATTGTCCTCGAAAATTAGCTCAAAATTTTGAATTTCGAAACCTGGTCGCGACGACCCGTGGTCGAGGAGGGTTGCTGGTCGCGAGCTGCGCGTTGGTCGCCAGGCGCAGGTCCTGTGATGCCTGGGCGTTGTTATGTTCACGGGTCGCGAGCTGGCATTAGGGAGCGGGTATGGGGGGATATTAGGCGTTGTTAGGCTCTAAAAATCCCGTGAGTCGATGACTTCGTGGGTCACGAGCAGCATGGACATTGCGCGGTCTGCGCGGACATGCTGTGTGTGGGGCGTGCGTTGAGCTCGATGTGCGGACATGGTGAGGGCATTTCACGCAAGGCTTTGGCGCGCACGGGGCGTACGCGTAAAGGTCGCGGGGTGTGCTGCGGACGTGTGCAGGGCGACTGCACGAGGCCTGGATAAAGATCGTGTATCTCGAGACCTTGTTTTTGCTTTGAACTTGCGCCAACCGCCTTGATTCTTAGCGATACATCGCTAATACTTGCACTGACGACTTGGTACTTCGCGATAGTTGTGCCAAAGGGCACGCTAAGGGCCTTCCTTCTTCATGGTTTGTGGAAACAAAGCACTATAGACTTTTGTTAACCACAAGAGAGTTTGGATCAAAACATCATTTTTCCTATTAGTTCAATTCATAAATTCGAATGACCTATGGCAAGGGTATTTAAGGAAAGTAAAGAGTAATCCTATAAAGACTTAAATTCTAATTCTAAGGAAATAATATCTAGCGTCCTAATAATTACCGAATAAAGATTTAGGCACATGCCAAAATTCAATCAACTAAATAAGCTAGGAATAGAGAAATAATAAATAGTGCTTTATTCTAGAAGATCTAAGCCTTGGTCTGCAAGTCTTCTAGAAGCTCGCCCCTCAAGTCGCACGCCTTGTGTTTTTGTGGTCTCGCCTGCGCATGCTCGTGCGCTGTCTTTGCGTGTCGGCTCGCCAGGCCCATTGTAACGCCTCGAACCACCAAACCCCCACACCCGAGTAGATACGCATGCACCTAGGGAGACCGCGCGCGCGAGGTCTGCTCGCCATTTTGATGTCCTAGGCCGCTCCAAGTCTAGGATTTGTAGATAGAAGCCCTAAGAAAGGCTTAGTTTTGCCTAGAAGCTTCTAGGAGGCTCCAGAATTGTGTAGATACTAGTAGTAGGGACTAAAAGACCCTATAACCTTGTACAACTTCATAGATAAGGCAAGAATCATGTAGAAGGTTCTAGGACATGTTTGTAGGAGTAGGATTTTTGTCGAAGAGTTTAGAAAGACCAAGACCCTTGTAGGATCTAGATTATTCCTTAGAGGAGGTGGTGCCTATAAATAGGAGAAGCCCTCTCATTTTGCAACCCATCCAAGCACCATCAAACATCCAAGCATCGAAAAGTCTTTGTACAAAAGTTTGAGTGAATAGTTATATAAGCATTTTCCCTTCAATCTCTCTTGAATATATTTTCCACATTCTCCAGCCAAACACTTGCACACACCAAGAACTATCCGAGCACGGTGAGGCTGACTTAACTAGTTGTGAATGGCGCACGAGGGGCTAAGGCCGCACGTATCCAACTTTCAGATGAATAAGGTCGTGACAAGTGGTATCAAAGCATGCTCGGTACCGTGTTGATTATGGTCGAAGATAAGGTAGACGAAGTGTCCGGGTCGGGTGTAAGCAAGGATCAAGCCTGAGAGAGAAAACACACCACCGAGACAAAGGATAAAAAACATAGGGACCAAAGCAGAGCTCGCGCAGAGGTCTCGACATTGGAACAAACTGTTGGAGAGATGTCTGAGAATTTCGAAAGGGTTAAGTTCACCTTCAAGAGGTTGGAGACGCACGTCTTGGAGGAGATCGATGTTAGTATATATACATAAAGCTTGACTTTTTGAGTAATGAACACTATATTTTTCTTTTGAATGGGAATCGCGTTTAATTAAATTGTTTCATGTTTTGATGTTTTACATTTGAATATTGTGATCCATTACAGATGAAGCAGAAGATCACGTATCGGTTACTTGCAAAATATACATAATTAGTTCACAACCTAGATGGAAATGAACAACTCATCGCGAACAGTTGTAGTGTTACTCGTATAGCCTATGTTGACTGATTGGTTGCACTAGTGCACTGTGTACCAGTCAGTTCAAAACAAACTTATCCTAGAGAGGATAAGTTTGTTTTTCTAGGATAAGTTTGTTTTGAACTGATTGGTAAAAAACTATACCTCGGTTAATTACTCTGTACCCTTAACCCTCGAGTAATTATTATCGAAGCCTCGAGCTGTACTTCAGGAGCCAAATGGCGAGATCAGCAGTTTTTCTTTATTGGACTGAAGAGCTATTCAAATATGAGCGTAATGGGCTTGGCCCACAGTTGAGCCCATATTTGATTAACGCATATTTGGCACCTCCTAGGGTCGCTATTGTAGCTTATAAATACACATCTCTTGGTGGTGAAAATCATACTTGAGGGATTTGTTAGTTAACCACCAAAAACAAACAACAGTAGAGGTGTACAATAGATGTCCCGAGGTAAAACCGAGAGCCTGTGTCCGTCGAACACCGTGGTCGACCAGCCAACTGTCGTTGATCAGCAACCGACTATCGCTGATCAGCCGCCGTCCGTCATTCCCTACAACTTGTCGTCTGACGTCGAATTCTGCTCTGACCGCGTTCTGATCTCCTCTGGGTGACCGTTTCTGATTTCGCTGATTGACGGGCGTTCAGACAATCTACATCAACAAAAATCAGAAATGACTAAGAGTCTTTGATTTTTAAGCTATGAATAGAGATTTTAAACGGTCCTTGGCCTGACAGGCGGCCCGTTTAGCCTGAAAAAAAAATAAGAAGATAAAAAAAGGATTAGGGCCCTTTATTGGTAGCCCGTTTAAATTCGAGTTTTTTTGCTCAGACCGTTTAGCCCGAAGCCCGCTAGGGCTAGCCCATTTAACTTGAGTTGAGTGGTGTAAATGTATGAAGCAGGTAAATAATAGGCCCCATGATTCCTTGTATATTACAATTTTGCTAGTCTACTTCACATGTAATTATGAGCTTAACGGGTTATTATGATTTTGGAAGATAATTATTAATAATTTTGTTATTCTACTTCCACCAAAATATTTAAGTCAATCAGAACGGCTAATATGAAATAATGAAACAAAGACCTAACACATAGAATATTGTGATATAATATAAATACAGCTGTATGATAAAATATCGTGAAAATTCCAAATCGTAGAAAATAACTAGTAAAATGGTAATTATAAGTAATAGTTTGAACATTTTTTTTTCATTTGAGCAAAAATATATTATTTAAGAGTTTGTAAGGTTTGTTCGTATATGAAGTTTAGTTGCATATATATATAGTGATAAATAATAAATTGCCGTTGAAAAAATACCGTTAACTAGCCATTTTGTTATTATTATTATTATTATTATTATTATTATTATTATTATTATTATTATTATTATTATTATTGTTGTTGTTGTTATTATTATTATAGTCCGT